TATTTCTAAAAGCTAAAGGAAGCTTTCCTCTCTGTTTTGTCTTCCTTTCTCTCTCTTTCTCTCTGGCCTCATGCTCTCGTCGCTCTCTTTCATTAGCCACTCTATAAAAACACAAGTGTGTTCATCAGCCCCCTGCAAAATCAACACAGAATTTAACATTAGTGATGAACCATGGTCAATCTATATTATTAATATTAATGTTACATGTTCAAGTTGAGGTAACACTTGTTAAGCTGTGTAGCCAACACATATTACATAATATCAAGTCAACACTGGTAAAGGAGAAATAAAATAGTTGTAAAATAAATGTTTTGTAACTATCTCATTAGCACTATCTCTCCGCGAAACAACAAATGTCGTTGTTTAAAGAAAACAGTGTTAGCTAACTGACACAGGCATTAGCTCGTTCTAGTTCGGTAATAACAATGATAAAAATGTAATTTTGCAGCCAATTCACAAAATTGTACCATCGATTTACATTATTTACACTTTTAACGAGTCAATCGTTTACTTATATGACGTTAAACAAATACAATTTAACCACAAAGAAACAAAAAGTGTTTTATAAAGTACTTACACTTAGTGATGTGACATTTGAACCGAGGCATCGGAATTTGTGTCGAGAAAAAATGGGCGTGCCAGATGAAGCCGCGATTCGAGGCTTGTGTTGATCACGTGACTGATGACAAACGACGCCTCGGTTTGTGTGGATACGTCATCGCTTCCGGATAAAGGGGGTTCGAAACTCGCGCCACCTTGTGGAAGTTGCAGGAGTAGTAGACGCAGTTGTAGTGTCAGAGTCCGAGTAAGAGAACTCTCATTGTCGTTATTGTGTCATATATGTGTTAGGGCTGTATATTATTACATTATATCAGGTTAGAATAGTTTTTAATAATAATGAATAATTGTTATTATTAATTATAGTAGCTATATTACAGTCTTGTTATATTAATTAGATAAGATTATTTGGATTGCTTTGGATTTTTGGTAGCTTAGATTTTTGGATCTGGACTGGACTGCTTTTTGTTTTGGATAGCCCTTTTGGATTTGTTTGCTTTTTATGACATCTTCCTTTATCCTGGTAATGGAGCCAGCAAGAAAGAGGAGATCCTCCCCTGTCTGGGCTCAACAGAAGCATCAGTATCTTCATTTATACCCGCTGGCACTGACATCCTCTGTTCCTTGTGAAAGGATATTTTTCCAAGGCTGGTGAGGTTTTGTCCAAGAAGAGGAATTGTCTAAACCCCAACACACTTCAAAAAATTCATTTTCTCAATAAAAATCTATTGCAATCCTTCCTTCATCCACCCCAAACTGTGGTGTCAGTTTACTTTATTACACTCCCTCGAGTCCCTCCACCATAAGCACTGCACTCAACACAGTCACTTTTGTTGTTCATACTGTCCCTATCCAATATTTTTTGGAATAATTAATTAATTGTGTGTGACAGTTGTCTCTGTACAAGTAAATGCAGACAGAGAAAGATACACGTTTTATTTCATACCCAGGCAATGGACAAATGTCTGCACAGATCTCTTTATTATTGCAAATGAAAGGTTACAGAGACATTAACTCATATTTAGAAGAAGATAAATAAATAAAACATTGCGGGAGGGGGGCGGGTCATTGGTTCAGAATGAATTAATTTGTCTGCTATTTCTTTGCACAGTAGCTAGGTGTCACTAGTGAGCAATGCTGAATGAAGCTTCGAGTAATGAACCTTTGGGTGAAGCAATGGGCTGCGAGGTCTCAGTGGTTCAGGAAGCCTCATCTTGCCATCACTACTTACACTTGAAAACCATAGACAACAGCCGCGTCTCCGGTTTCCGCCATTTTCAAATATAACGACAACAACTCCGCTCCCGTGGCATCATGGGATATTAAAGTGTCCATCGTATGCACCACAGACGTGTATATGGTCCTCCTTCCTCACATTTGTAAACACTGACTCGGTACTTCCGCTTACGTCAAGCGTGAACTTTTCAACGTAATTGCGTGTTACGTGACGTCACGAACGCGCATCACAGAACAGAGCAAGGCGAGCATTTGTGCTTATAAAACTAAAACTTTTTTATTAATTTGTGAAATGACCGATGGTTTCGCTAGATAAGACCCTTATACATCGTCTGGTATCGTTTAAAGCCCTTTGAAGCTGCACTGAAACTGTCATTGGACCTTGAAGCGTTTGGACCCCATTGAAGTCCATTATATGGAGAAAAATCCTGGAATGTTTTCATCAAAAACCTTCATTTCTTTTCGACTGAAGAAAGACAGACATTGAGTAAATTATCAGCAAAAGTTTTTTTTTTTAAAGTGAACTAATCCTTTAAATGCTTATATATATACATATATATATATATATATATATATATATATATATATATATATATATATATATATATATATAATAAAATGAGTAGAAACATGATTTTGTCGTTATAGTTTCCAGCATTACATTATCCTTTGGGTTAGTTTGGGTATATTTACATTAATCTGAATGTTGATTAATGTACACTGTCCCTTTCTAAAGAAATACAAATAAACAGGCAAATTTCCTCAAGAATATCGTAATATCAATAGACCATTACAGCGATGAATTTATTTTTATAAAACTACTTAAAATGAATTTTTGTATTTGAATAGCAGCACATAATGACCAACCTTGAACATCCCTGGCAATGAAGAAGAGTAAAAGCTGTTTCCAGTTCTCGTGTCTTAAAGGATCTGATGTTCTGGAGAGCGGTCACCACTACAGGTGCTTTTCCAGCTTCATCTCAGGATAAAGACTGTGTGTGTGTGTGTGTGAGAGAGAGAGTGTGTTCAGGTCTCTACCCCTACATCATGCTCTCCGTTACTTAAATGGATAAAGTATTAAAAATGCTGAATGTTTTCTGTGAGTTCTGTTTAGGGGATGGAGATATCATCAGCTCAGCATAAAAACCAATACGCCTATGGAAGTCTTCATGATGATCGGTGTACCAGTGTGTGTGAGAACATGAGAAAAGGAGTGCTTTGCACGAGTGTAATTTGTGTTTTCATAAAAGTGGTAATAAAATCCCAATAGCACAAAGCAAAATGTTTTTCTTTATTGAAGACCTGCATATAATCTCCTGCTCCCGAGTCCTCGGCTCTGCTAATGGGGATTCAGCGCTGATCTGCCGAATTATGCACATTGTCTCATATTTGATCAAGTTTGCATCATTGACTCTCTCTCCTCTGTTTATTACCGTGAAGCTGCTTTGAAATTGTAATTGTATTGTAATACTTCCAATAACGGCATAATTACAGCAAAAGCTGACATTGCATTTACAATGAGAAGTTAAAGATGACCTTCTTCATTTAACATGTGACCCTATTAACAGATGAATGACCATCACATGACAATACAGTATTTAAAAAAGTAGAAAACAATTTCCTTACCTCATTTACACCATTTCATGTGCTTTTTTGATATTGAATGATGCATAAGGTAAATGACGAGAACATTACAGATATTATTGATAAGAGGTACCACTGGGAATCATCCATCAAGAGGAAGGAAGAGGCATAAATATGGCTTTATGTTCGTCCGACTGTATTTATTTTTTATTCTAAACTGTTTTAATTATTCTTATTTCTTTTGATTATTTTAATTTCCTCTATGTAAAGCATTTGAATTACCATTGTGTATAAAATGTGCTATATAAATACAGCTCATGTGTTCAAGCTCTCCACGCCGCAGATCTTCCTCTGTGTTTCTGGAGGACCGTAATGACCCATAATCAACTATTTAATTGAATAAAATATTCAACTAAAAAAACATTCAGACCTTCTTCTGTACTGAGAGCATCGGCCACATGAGATGCCAGCTTACCAAGTCGTCATTTTGAGATGAGATAAGTCAATTTCATCTTTTGTCAGTGACAACTGAGGAGAATTAAGGCAGAACTTCCCACAGCAGGAACATGGAAAATAAAATACTTTGCTTAAACGGCAAAGAGTTCGACTGACTGAAGCTTGACCACTGGAACTGAACAAAGCAGGAATAAAATATGCCCTAAATTAATACATGATTAACTAACTGTATCTTTTCTATGTACATTTCTGAAATGCACTTTCTGTAAAGCTGCTTTGAAACAATATGTATTGTGAAAAGCGCTATACAAATAAATTTGAATTGAATAGTCGTTCATAATCACAGTTTCAACAGGGGAAAGAAAACATATTTAAAGTCCCCCTGTGGTGTAAATCCAGCTTTTAATGTTGTTTATATGTCTATGTGGTGTTTTTAATATGCTTTAAGGCAAACCATGTGTAAGTTCATAAGTCGACAGCATTGCTGAGTATTTTCTGCTTAAAACTGCAGTGAACCAAAGACAGTCTCAAAAACATGGTTTGAAATCGCTGGTGTTTCTGACGTCACAAACGACCTTGTAACCAATCAGATCAACGTGTGATCGTCAACCAGTGGATCTCTGAGCTGAGGGAGTGAGTGGAGGCGGGGCTCATTTGCATATTCATAGAACCACGCATACTAAATGAGGCAGGGGTGTCGGGTTACTTTCAAGATATTTTAAGGCATGAAGATATTTTTTTCAAGGAAAAAAATATTTAAATGTGTCATTTTGGTGATCAATGAGTTTTAAAAGATAGAATTATTGACTACAGGGGGACTTTAACAAAATCATTTCAGTGCATCATTAAAATTCAAGAAATGTATTTAAAAGTCTAATATTAATACAAATTATTTTTAAATATATTTTGTTTAAAAAAGTCATTAGGTGCGTCCCAGTTCGTGTACTTGCACTATTTACTACAAAACGGCATAGAATAGTGCACGAGTGGTGCATGTGTTCACACTGAAAATCCCAAACAGATATAGTGCACTTTAAATACCCTGATGATGCACTTAATTAATATGTAATAATGCCTGGCGAAACATTCATGCATGTAAAGGTTAAACCACACCGGCGAATAAACAGTCCAGTGACAAACACACAACAAACTCACAAAACACAAACTCTGAGTGACTTTTTATTTGCATTTACTGACTTTCCCAGCATGACTACCTCTACACAGACAATAGAAAACAACACTTTAACTCGGTTATTCAAGAGCCGCGGACCAATTCAAAACTAAATACTTTGAGTCTTTTTCCAAGTGTTTGGAGTCGTACGTTTGTTTTCAGTTCTGTGTACAAGTCTCATAGCCGAGAGAAACATGCATCCGACATCATAATGCACATTATAAAGTTCAGTACTGACCACATATCAAATGAGTGTTATTGTATATAAAGTTATCAAACTTATAGATCCTTATAGATCAATACTGGAACACAATAATAAGAGTTTCCAATAATAAGCTTCCACAGCTAATATCACAATGCCATCACTTCCAGCAAACAGAAAACCTTATTAACCGCATAACTTTAATGTCCTTGTAATTGCACTTAATTTAGTTCTTCTTCACGCGCTGACTGTGTTTATTAATTTTACGCCTCAACAAACACAATGTGACTTTCATGGCACCGTTTGCTTGTTGATGCAGCGTGTTTTCTGTTTCCTGAAATTGTAATGCTCATATAACCATGTCAAAAATGTTTAATAAAAAACAAAGAAACAAAAATATAATAATAAACAATTGGATAGAAAGAGAGACGAGCTTTCTCACCATTGTTAACAATACTATCAATATCACATGACCTCCTACCTCACCGTACAAAGCTAGAATAACACCAGTCTCATATCGAGGCGAAAGAACAATAATTCTGGCTTCAACCATCTGACGAAAAATAACCTTTTCTAAAACCCCTGAATTTGCGATTAAGATCACTGACCTGACGAATTCAGCACAATCGGTTCATTTCTCTAATATTCATATCTCCACACACCCTAGAAAACAGAATGAATGTCTTCTTGTCTTATTGCTGCTGAGTTTAAAACAAGCCATCCGCTGTTCTTCCTTGAGGAGTGAGAAAATAAAACACAAACTAAACGCTAAGCTAGGACTCTCTCGTGAAAAACAACAAAAAAAGGCACTAATGGTCAGAATGAGGATCATAAACGGGGACCGAACTGAGGGTTAGGTAGAGATCTCACGGGTTCTGATCAGACGCTGTACCCACACTTGGCACAATAGAGTTAAGAGAGAATTACAGCATTCCAATTTGGAATTAATTTAATGCTCTTGCACAGAATGCAGAAGGTCAGTGATCCGTGTAAAGCTTGAGCGAAGGTGCTTGAAATCAATAAAAGAAGAATCAGTAACACTTAACAATAAGGTACGTTAACGTCATCAACAATTTTACACACTTAATTCATCCAGGTTTAGGAATGCACCGATATCAACATATTGGCCAATACCGATATCCGATAACTCTTTATATTTGAAAGCCGATAACCGATATATTTGCCGATAACCGATAATTCTTTATATTTGAAAGCCGATAACCGATATATTTGCCAATAACCAATAATTCTTTATATTTGAAAGCCAATAACCGATATATTGGCCGATAACCTATAATTCTTTTATATTTGAAAGCCGACAACCCATATATTTGCCGATAACCGATAATTCTTTATATTTGAAAGCCAATAACCGATATATTGGCCGATACGATAACTGATAATTCTTTATATTTGAAAGCCGATAACCGATATATCGTCCAATAACCGATAATTCTTTATATTTGAAAGCCGATAACCGATATATCGACCAATAACCGATAATTCTTTATATTTGAAAGCCGATAACCGATATATTTACCGATAACTCTTTATATTTGAAAGCCGATAACTAATATATTGGCCAATAACCGATAATTCTTTATATTTGAAAGCCAATAACCGATATTTTGGCTGACATGATAACCAATAACTCTTTATATTTGAAAACCGATAACCGATATATTGGCTGACATGATAACCAATAACTCTTTATATTTGAAAGCCGATAACCGATATATTGGCCGATAAATCTGAATCCAAATTTGTGTGTAATTTTTGAGAGCCTGATTACTAAAAACAAAAGCCTCACCATTAAATCCGCACAATTATAATGTTCTCATGATCATGTTATGTAGCCGATATGACAGACTTGTATCACTTTACTGTATTTTCCTTTTTTGAAGTGATTTCAATCATATTTCAAGCAATTCAAAACCATCATGTTGAACAGTGCGCATCTGAAGCGTCTCAGCTGAAGGAAATAATCCATTATTTATCGGTTTTAATATATCGGACAAATTTTCTCATCGGGCCGATAACCATAACACTAAAAATTAACCGATATCAGCTGATACCGATATATAGTGCATCCCTATCCAGGTTAATATTTGGATATACTGTTGTTCACATGTTTATTCATAATACAAGAACCTAATGTTAACTTAAAAATGTATGCATACAAAGAAATTAACCTAGATTAATAAATGCTGTATTGTTCATTCTTATTTGAAGCTTTTTGTGAGGCGTTACACAAAAGTCCATTCAGTTTATCATCAATTTGCTGGTTTTACTTCCGATCAGATTAAGCCACAGCGTAATGCTTTTATTTGTTCACTTTAAACCATTCCTATAAAGAGAAAATAATAATACGTAATAATAATAATAATAAATAGATCAAATCCCAGCACCTGACCGCCTGTGCTTGTGTTTAAAACATGGCAGTGAAACGAATGTGAGAAGCGCAACATTTCAGTAAATCACAGGAATAATCTCGTTTCATAAAGACTGAGAGAGATATAAAGTAATCCGATACTAGAGTAACCGACTCGTGAACCAGAACACCTCAAACTATACCATAACAAACAATATTAAAAGAGCAGAGGTTACAAAATCTCAAAACACAGATGAATGTTTTGAGGAAAAGAACATCAGCTCATTTTCTTTTCTTTTGACTCCAATCAAAAGTATTAAAGTTTTCAGGGCTTTGTGAGCTCTGGCTTCCGTGTGTGTGTGTAAACACAACCCTGAATTTACTCGTTTGCAGAGTCTACAACTAAAAAAGGGATCCAAAGACTACAAATAAAAGACATGCCATCCAGTGTTTCTCTCGCAAGTCCGAGAAACGTGCCTCTGGATGTGTGGGCAGTGGAGGAATGTGTCGTTCCCAGGCTGAACGTTACTGCAAATCAAACACAGAGAAGTAAGAGCAGTTAGCATTACGGCTAAACGTGCGCACGTCTGCGTCCGCTCGATGGGAAGCCGCTGTTAGTCACTGAGACTGAAGTTAGTGTGGAAGATCAGCAGAAAGCCAGAGTTTCTCACAAGCACTGAAAACCTCCACCTCACCAACCGAAGCCCAGCATGCAGTTCATGCTAACGCCGCGTAAAACGGCACAAAAATAAACATAAAACTAACTCTTGGCGAGCCGAAGACCAATCAAATCATTTAAATGGTGATTTTGGTAACGCTTTACTTCAAGCCTTTACATATAATGCATTATAAAAGTATTTTAAAATCAAAGTCCCTTTATTTTAATGCAGCAATTATGCGCCTTATAATGCATCATATGGTCTCTATAACCACAGTTATAACACTCACACCTTTAGAAAGTATAATGCATTAAAACACATGACAAACAACCAATTTCAGAATCTGCAAATATTACAATGCATTTTAACTTTGCTTAGAATTACTTATGAAAAGATGTAATGCATTATAAGATATATTATGAATGCCCTATAATGCAATACACATAAAGGCTTTAAGTGAAGTGTTCCTGTGATTTTGAATTCTTCTTTAATTGCGTGCATCATTGATCATTATTGTCCTGTGTATCACTGTGAAGCCGCTTTCAAACAATCTGTATTGTATAGAAATAAACGTGACGGTGATAAAAACTGATCCAATGATAAATAATATAATAATAAACGACTTTTTTGTTAGACGCGCCACGTTTTTTTCTGTGACGGTTCAAATAAACGTAAAGAAATGAATAACAATAATCTAGCGAGGCACGTTGAGAACGTACGAGTTTTACGTTTTATTTATTTAACACTGCTGTCAATTTGAAGATCCTGAAACGTGTGCTGGCCCTTTAAATACAGTGACTCGAAGAAGCCATTCGCAATGCATAAATCAAGTAGATTATGAAGATTATTATGAACTTTAGTTTCAGTTTTTACCGCTTCATCTCTCGCACATCGCAAACACAAAAGAGTGAATGCCTTCTCTATGGAGATGAGTTTCATTTCATTCATAATCTACTGACAGATTCCCAATGCAAAGGTAGAGTACAAGAAGGAGAATATGATCATATTATCAAAAGCATTAACCATATTCGTCACCGATTTAGGGTACATGCCTGAAATATTTTGTTTGCCAATAAAAGAGTCGCGTCAGAAACGACAGATAAGGCCTCGCTAATGTTCATCTGCAATGTTAAACACAAACAGCCTTGCATTATGACATCACTACGAGCATGTGACAAGCCCTTCTCCACGACTTCACCGCGTAAAGCCGCGTGTCAAGTAAACGTAACCAAGTCTACGACATGTTAAAGCTTTCAGAAATGGATCTGCAGCCACTGACATCTACGAAAAAGCAAGCCAGAAACCCATTGGCTGATTTATTTATACGTATGCTTGTCGTTCCCGCCTGCCTCACGAGTGACATCGCTAAACACGCTCACTCTCCAACCCGTCGTGTTGATGCTAGTTTAAATTCTCGCAAAAAAATGGCACAATTCAATGGGTTTTCCTGCATGTCAACAAGACAGGAGGTTTGCATATCATTTGTTAGGCATGTAAACACGAGTTACCTGATTGGACGGGCTGCTGATTTCAGAGGCAGGAGAGAGATGGACAGAAGAAAAAGGGCAAATACTAGCTATTGACTTGTGACGTTAATATCACAATTCAACATGGCTAGCTCTCCCTAGCACGTCTAATCTAGAAACGCGCTGTGCAATTCGGTTTGAAACACACTTAGACTATTCTGCCCCTAAGCTAGCTCTACAACATGCACCTGGCTACGAGGACGCTAGCAGCGCTAAACACACGGACACATCGTATGGGTTAGCGCAGAGCAAGCAAGAGCGCGCGGGTTGAGCTTTATACATGAGCCGCGGCCTCAGTCGCAGTAGATCTTGTACTTCTCGCTGGAGAACACGAGTGGCGCTCCCACATCGGCGCGGGCCCCGGCGGGGAGACTTACGTCAGACGGGGTGGATTTAGCGCGCGAGTAGCCGGGTTTAGCGCGTCCGCGGCGGATATGCTCGTGGTCGACCTCCAGGTCCTCCAGCCGCTGTGTTAGCGCTAGCTTCTGCTGGATAGCCATACGCAGGAGAGAGTTCAGCGTCTTCTTCTCGTCCTCCGCCGCCGCTAGCTGTCTCTGCATCTCATCCAACTGAGTCACGTACTCGTCACAGCTGAGAGACAAACACACACACACAGCATCAAATCTCGGCTCTTAAAATACTATGTGCTAACATTTCATTTAAAGAGGACCTATGCTTTCCCCATCTGTGTTTAGTGTGTGATGTTGCTGTTTGAGGATGAGAAAGCTCCAATTCTTCTCTATATCAGTGTCAGTGTTTCTGAACTCCTGAAACGCCTCCATTGTAGTCTCGAGTTTCTTCCGGGAACACGTCACAATATTCCTCATTATAATAATTCATACGCAGAATAAAGGGGCGGGGCCTGGTTGAGTTAGTTAGTAGTGTGTTAAACTGGTGGTTATGGAAAGGGGCGGGACATCTCCCAAACACACATTCGAAGCGCTCGGCCAATCACAACACACTGCTCCAGCCGACCAATCAGAGCACAGTGTGCTTTTCAGGAGGAGGGGCTTCTGCTACGACTCTTGCTCAGCTCATGCTCTATTAAGAAGACACGTTCAGTTTTAAACTGCAGTGTCGGTTCTCTAACTGAACTAAATTATTTTTATTACTATAAACAAAAGGGTTCAACTGCAACACCGGTATCATCTTGCCCACAGTCAACACACTATCACAGCAAGCCTAGTACATTGTACTTGTATTTAAAAATAAATATATATATATATATATATATATATATATATATATATATATATATATATATATATATATAAAACTGTGTCATTAAAGCTACACTGTGTAACTTTTTTAGTTTATTCTTAGCTAAAAACACTTAGTTCTTTCAAAAATATATGTGCTCATTAATGTATATTTACTTCGTTTAAGTAATAAAGTATTCTCGTGAGTGTATAATATGCCATTGAAAATACATACGGGTAAGGGGTTCTAATGTCGGTCGCCATGTTGCCCCTCCATCTTGAAAGTACATTAGCCAAAGAGGGACATACCCGTTAATTCAAGCTTCGCCTTTCGCGTTTTAACACTCGATGGCACCGTGTCGAATGTGAAGAGGGGGATTGCTTGAGACTGATATATAAAAACCTGAAAGCCTTTTTGAAAGTCTGTTGCTGATGGAGGATCACTCTTATTCTCGAGGATACGTATCAGAGTCGCCAAGGAAGCGAAAAAGAGAATTAAGACGGCAACGCAACAGGAAAATCAACAAGACAAAAGTAAATATTGGAGTGGCTTTCCAAGATGGAAAGAGCTCATGACGAGCAACGATTTTAAAAAGGATGCCGACGTTGCCTGCTTTCTTCTCGACAGGTAACGTTAATTAAGCCTATTTGTGTATATTGGAAGTTTTATTGTTGCTTGGCTAATTATATCATGATGTGCTGTAGGCCACCGTAGGAGTTAAAAGGAAATCGGAATTGAGAGAAACAGAAACTAATATTCAATGGATGGTCATATACCTTTTCACCGCTAGATGGGGGTAAAAATCACACAGTGTAGCTTTAAAATGACTGGTCATTCACATTTCAAATCGAGAGGAATTCCTTATAAAGATGTAATTAATTTGCTATTGAAACGGACATTACAATTTTTATATTACTGATTGTTTGTCCAGATATGTTTGAAATCGTGCTGGTCTTTTGGCTAAATCTGAAGCAATGTGCCTCTTTTATTCAACAGGATTCAAGTATTTATATTTTTAAAAGGCGAGGGTTAGACATTTTTATTTAATTGATAATGTTTTTTGGCATTTTATTGATAATGTGTTTTTATTTTTATGTTGATTTGTGAATCACTTTGAGCTGCATTACAAGTATAAAAAGTGCAATACAAAGACAGTTAGTTGGAAATGATAGTTTTAAAAGGTTAAACAGTACTATGTTCTCACACACACACACACCTCACCTGGGGCTGTATGGATTACTGTCATGTTTGTTTTGTGTGGTTTTTGAAGCGTCAACTTTGAGGGTCCCATTCACTTACATTATATGGACTCTCAGAGAAATTATTTTTATAAAAAAAAAAAATAAAGTCAGTCATATACATGTTGGACGGCATGAGGATTAGAAAATGAGACACATTTCCATATATGTGTGGAGTTTCCCCTTCAATGCAATTGGCTATTTTAAACACAGCAACAGTCAATGTGTCTCAACAGAAAATACAACACCAGGCCAATTTTGTTTAAAGATCAATTTCTCTTTCTTCATCCATAAACAAAAAAAGTGATTTCAACAGCTTTCAATCTTAATGAGTGATGGATAAGCGTGAGATTAAAGCGATTAAAGAGCCACTCCTTCATTAAACTGCAGGTTTAACCACACCTGAAAGCATGTCTACACACGGTGAACGCCACAGAACACAATCATCACTCAGAAACATGTGCTACCGCCCTACAGTCACCAGAACACACACACATAATGGAGGATTTCCCATGGGTGTGATCCACCAACCCCTCTCAGAAGAGCAGACGTGAGAACCGGAGGTCCGATCTGAAACAGGATCTGATGATATGAGCTGTGATGATTATATGGTTTGGACTCATTTCTCAACACTTTTGGTCACTTTTTCAAGTCTCTTCCCACCGTGAACACAACAGCAGTCTGTGTGAGCTACACTGTGGAGCATTTATCATCGCTTTGGCATTCATGACGACATCTTTCAAATGGCATTAATTCATTTCTCACTCAGATTTTTAATGGTGTTAATGGTTTCCGTCTATTTACCAACATTTTGCACATGTTGACACTCTTTTCAAAACTGTTCAACTTAAAGTCACCATGAAATCAAAATGGACAATCCTTATTTATTTATTTTCATTATTCATAAATTATTTATGTTGAATCAGAATAAGTTCCTCTTGCAGCATCTCTTCTCTGATGACGTGGGCGGGGCTATACCCTGTCACTCACATGAGATCAGCCAATAGCAAACCACAACCATCCAATCAATTCCACACAGACACAATCAAGCCCCGCCCACATGTGTTCTTCTTCGGGAAGCGTTTCACTCACGACACAATAGAGAAGAAAAGACTAGCGCAACTTCCATTTCATGCTGACCGACCAGGGCTGGACTGGGACAACAAATCGGCCTGGGCATTTTGGCACAGACTGGCCCACTACATATAATCATAAGCACAACCGAACTTTGCACGCCCTTGAATATGTATACTAACTCCTATTAAAACCACTAATGCCACAAGTGAATAGGAGTGAGTAAGAGTTGACAGATGAAATAACTAGTTGAGCTATACTCCACAGTGATGAAGCTGCATTGGGATAGCAATACGCGTTTTTCCCACAGGATTTAGTGAAATCTGTGGTGAGTGCACCTCTGTCCCTCTAGGGGGGTTCGGGGACATTCTCCCCCGTAAGAAAATTTTGTGCTTTTTAATGTTAAATTCATAAATCTGGTGCACTTTGAGAGTTCAAAATAAAGAGCTCCAACCCATATTCAGTGTGCAAATTGAACAAAGAAAAACTCAAAACTCATTTAGTTGTGATATAGTGTCTGTCTACATTACACTACTACATAATAATAGTTATAATATTAATCCCATGGCACTAATAGCGATATGTTGTAAAACAAATGCACTGAAAAATAAAAGCAACTTCATAATTAGTTTACTACTAATTTCTATACTTGAAAGAGATAAGCACATGATCTTTTATTTTGACGGAAACGGCATCAAGCTTTTATTTTGGCGAAAAACATGGTTTACAAACTCGTCTCATTATAATTCTAATAAAATGCGTAATCGGCAAATATGCAGATGTGGAAATAATGGGAAACTGGGTAGTGGGTTCCTACATAGCCTAAGTGTTCTTAAAGTACCCCAGTTCTGCTTACCACAGTTCTCTACACTCACTCATCTCTCTCCTGGCCAGTCCAGCCCTGTGACCGACTAAACATAAAACAAAACTGAAGCCGCAAGCAATTTGCTACATTTCTACAGTAATACCAGACAGAAATCATATCACAACAATTAGATGAACACCTACACAAGTGTTAGTCTTTCAACTTCATTAACATCCATACCAAAGTGGAAACTTGAGAGTAATGTTGTGCTGTGATGTAAACATGGATCATGTAGCATTTACTGCAGTGAGTTATAAACATGTCATTCTTATATCATTATGTTATAATGCTGCCTGTTGGTGGTGGTTTTCTGAGTGATAAAATCTGTTTATTGGGTGAAACCTTTGCTAGTGTAATGGAAAAATGTATATATTATAGTTTTGGTAGTTTTAGTGTGTTTTGGATGTAAAATGTTCTGCTGTTGAAGCTGACGGTTGGTGTGAAGAACTGAGTTTAGAAATAGTAACATATGCATTGAAAAATGTTGCCTAATGAGGGTTAAAAAAAGAAAAAGAGGTCTAGACAGTGTGTGTGTGTGTGTGTGTGTGTGTGTGTGTGTGTGTGTGTATGCCTGAGATTAACAGAGGGTGAGATTGAGGTTTCAGGCACATAAAGACACGACGCCTCACAATAGAAATCAGTGCAGCTTCATTAGCGATCGGCCCCTGGGAACCATCGCTCTAAACGCAGGGGTCAGGATTTTCCCGGGAAAAGAGGCCAGGGGTCACGTGTGAACCATCTGCGTCTGCACGAGTGTGTGTGTGTGTGTGTGTGTGTGTGTGTGTGTGAAGGTGTCGTTGAGAAATATGTCTTGACACGCATTCACTGCTTTACAGCAACACAGGAATGAAGATCACAAAAACATCCTAAAATAAGTGCTATTTTCTTATGCAAAACACAATTTCGGCAACACTTACAGTAAGGTTCATTAGTTAATGTACTAACTAACATGAGCAATACATTTGTTACAGTATTTATTAATCTTTGCTAATGTTAGTTAATAAAAATCCAGCTGGTCATTGTTAGTTCACAGTGCATTAACTAATGTAAACAAATACAACCTTTGATTTTAATAACGTATTAGTAAATGTTGTGATTAATATTAACTAAGATTAATGAATGCTGAAGAAGTCTAGTTCATGTTAACTAATGGACCTTATTGTAAAGTGTTCCCACATTTTCTTGTTTGTTGTTGGCGATCTGAGCGCACAGCTCTAGAGATGTTGGAGACTGTGGGAACGAGAGTTCGCCCCCCCGCCTGACGACCTTATTAGCATATTAATACCCACCGATGGGGCGACACAAAAGCCGAGCGCCGTGGAGGCTTCAGATGCTGATGGGAAATCTTCACACTGAATGCTGTGAGAGGAGGGTTTCATCCGAGTTTGTTCATTAATAGCATGTGTGAACGGGAACAGAAACAGTTTTGTTCACTCTGAAGTGTCAGTGGGAACAGAAAGAATGAGAAGTATATATATATATATTCGTCAGAGGGTTCCCAGAGTCTAGGTAATTAATAGGAAACGTTGTGATGTATAGAAAATGTACAAACTATTTGAAATTATAAAATATATGTACAGTCAAACCAAACCTTATTCAGACACCAGATATCATTTTTCTTTTTTACTAGTGTGTGCAGGACACTATAGTTCATTTATGTAAGTGAGGAGAGCAAAATAAAGTAAACTCTGACATATTATACCCAAATATTCTTCATACAGTGACTACCAGTGACATTTATAAACATTTGGGACCAAAAATGAACAAATCTTTTTTCGAGTCATTTGATTCATTTAACGACCGAAATGAACGAATTGACTCGGAAAAAGATTTGTTCATTTTGATGAACGAGTTCGAACAGGAGAGTCACACAGAACAAAGCAAGGCGGGCATGTGAGCTTATAAAACTTAAACGTTGTTATTTATTTTTTAAATGAGCGATCGTTTCGCATGATAAGACCCTTATTCATCGTCTGGTGTCGTTTAAAGACATTTTAAGCTGCATCTGAAACTGTTATTAACTGTATTTTGGACCTTGGACCGTATGGTTCCCATTTAAGTCCATTATATGGAGAAAAATCCTGGAATGTTTTCATCAAAAAACGTAATTTCTTTTCGACTGAAGAAAGAAAGACCTGGACATCTTGGATGACATGGGGGTGAGTAAATTATCAGCAAAAGTTTTTTTAAAAGTGAACTAATCCTTTAAAATTAACAGCTGACAGATGTTCAACATAATTCATGTGTGAGAGTCTAACAGAAGGACGGACAAAACCAGTCAAATATCAACTGAGTTCTGCTCATATTTATCACCTTTTTCTAAATTATAGCGAATAAACTGATCATGTGAGAAATGTTGAAGGAGTCTGAATAAATTTTGGTTTGACTGTATATGGTAGTATTTTTTTGTCCTGCCATTATTTTCAAATCCTTTTTTTTGTGAAATAAATCTAAGCTACTAGACAGCAGCACATTATCAATATAGAATATCTAGACAGAAAGCGTTCAGGAAATAAATGAGAGGAAAAACACAGATCCCTCATGATGTCAGCACCCGTGCCGGAGTTACGCACAGAAGCCAGTGATGGCGTTTATGATTCTGCACACGGCGTCACGGCTCTGAGAGATTTACTCTGACACGAATCTGTGATTTACTGTTTCCCATCACTGACAGTCTGTTTCTCTCAAGCTATCGGGATAAAATATCTTAAGCCCTATTCGCAGTGGATCAGTATTACCTGGTGACCTCTAGTCATTTGTAGTAATTGCGCAGGTTGTCTGAGATCTTAATCCCGCTGAATCGGCCATGTCTGTAATTTGAAATTTGTCTAAATCACATGATGTCCCCAGATAATACTAACCCAGTGCAAATAGGGCTTTTATCTGGTCAAAAACGGCCAACTAACACAGGAGTCGTCCATCTGTTCTACATGGAAAATTACCAGCCAGTTTGTTTTTCGTACAGAGAAAACCTCCTTTACTTACAAACGCTTGAATATCTTTCATTTATTTTGACATTAACCTTCGATGCATTACAATTACGATAAGGCTTTCCAGTGTTACGGGCTCTACCATTTTTTAAGGCTGGAATAGACCTCATCAGGGTAACAATATTTAATATTTGAATAGCCATATTTAATATTTGACAGGAAATGGATTGTATTTTTGTGACTTTTGGCAAATTGGTCAAAAGTGTCGTAGTGAACATCAGCCTTTATTCAGGGTCACTGTTTACAGGGAATATTCACGCCAACGGTGAGAATAGAAGAGCTTGGGCTCTTCTGTAAACATCACTCCGCTGTGATTACAGACTCACACATTAGCGGTGCTCAGAATAATCGACCGCTAACAGTCGATAATCGCTTTGGGAAGTTTAATCGGCTGATCTCTATAAAGGCTGATCGACGCACAAAGACACATGATATACAATTCATATCTCTTTATTAAAGGTGCTCTAAGCGATGTTGGGTGACGTCACTTCTTGTTGACGTTCGAAGTATTGTCAAACAAAATGGAGGCTTTTCCGATGTAAATTCAGGACTTTGCGCGTTCCTTCTCCTCCCTCTTCTTTGCGATTTGTTCATCGGAGCGTCGTCTCTTTGGTCGTGTGTCGCCCATATCAAAATTCAAGAGAATATAATTCTAACGTTAGTCGTCGTCTTGGACATCTCTCCTCTAGCGAACTTCCCTCTTCATGCTCCTCTCTCCTCCACTCCCCCTTCATCATGTGCACACGCACTAACCCCCCAAACCCCAAACCCTTCTGGTCGTTTATGTTTCGTGGAGCAGGTTAGCCTGGGTTTCCCCATACTGCCTTTGCACAGCGCGATTGTGTTCACGCTGCTAGGCAGTCTGGATAGCATGGACCAGATTTTCGCCTCAGCGAGGGGACCAATCACAGAACGGGAAGGGAGCAGCAAGACGACGACGACGTCTATGCCACACACCGAAGCAGTTTGTTTATACCTATGGATCAGACATGGCAGCAGACGCGAAGTTACCTTTCCATGCAGCCGTAGATCTTGTTCTAAGTAGTTTAGAACGCAAATAAATCTCTGACCCATCGTCTTCCTCCTCGTCTAATTTCTAATTGCTCTACATACATCATCTGGTATAATTGAAACGATTGGCTATGAGCTACGTACAGGCGCATTTGATAGACATTCGTAGCACCCAATAAACGTCTCTGGGCATTCGTAAACCACGCCTCAAATACGAGAAAATGAACATGTGGTTCCCAGACCACGTCTCAATGTCAATGAGGTCAGATGTTAGCCAGGCTAGGAGCGGATTGGCCCAGTTTGTTTTGTTGCTGTTTGTGGAGCCTGGGCTGTCTACAGAGACCGTGTGTTTTACAGTGTGTTCAGGGGACAGCAGCTGGCGGAGAGTGAGATGTTTGCTGTATGTGACAAAAAATGTTTCAGCCTAAAAAACACGTGACATCGCTTAGAGCACCTTTAAATAACTAGTAATTTGAAAACTTTCCATGAGATGTAATTTCACAAACTGTGTGAGTGAATCACCGTGCGCTCTCGCTCTCTCCCTCTCAAAATGCACAAATGGCTTCACATCAGCACTATAAGCGAGCGGACCAGTTGACAATTTGCATTTCTTTTTAAGTCTCGCCAGTGTTTAAACCACTCAGCACCCGTGCGCTCTCCTAGAGACGGTGCACTCAAGCACACACACCTCACAAACAGATCACGAGTATCTACCAAATTGGGCTTAAATGGTCAAATACACACACATGTATGCACAAAATGGCAGTCTTGATGAGTATGCACATGAACACAGTCGGTTTTGTCGTGAGTGAATGTAAACGGGTGTGTAACTGCATGTGTTCATTATAAAACTGTGGCGGGAGTAAGGGGATGTTGTGTCATTTTTGTTAGCGAACTATGGCAGTTTTATACTTTTTAGTATTTATAGTTTGTGTTTATGCTGAAGTTTCTCATAATGATTAACAATGGAAGAGATGGTTTTATCTTTGGTCTATGATCTACAAACGTAGAGTAGAATTAAGTATATTCTGTATGTTCTTACACTCTTTGAGAGATGATCAATATGAAAAAAGAAATCAGTTACACTGTCATAATATTTCAATTTTTCCCTTTTTTTTTTTACTGTTGTTAATCGATCTATTTCTGCATCCAAACTCAAACTCAGCGCTTCACTGATAACATGTATGTCACTGGGACAAAATAGGCAGTATTATTGGTAACTGCTCTTATTCGTAAAATACAATAAAAATATCATGACTGTTATTAGTTTCTGTGATTATATTTTTTTATAGAACCAAAACAAGATCCTGGTGTTGTTCTGTTGATAATAACTGATAATACTGTCTGAGGACAGAGGAGATACAGGAGAGTGTCATAAAACCAAAGACTATTTTGCTAATGTGTGTGCGTGTATAAACGTTTTGTGGTGTGTGTGTGTCATACCGAGTGGCAAACATGGCCCTGAGCGAGGAGAAAGTGGCCGCATCCTCTTTAAGGGCTTTGAGCTCGTTGCGAAGCTTCATCATGGTTTCGGTCACCATGGCCTTTTCATTCTCATATTTGCTCTTCAGGTTGGCCAGCGCAACCTCAGCGGTCTGAAAAACACACACACAGGCAATCGAAACTGAATCCAATCGTGAAAAGTGTGTCAATGCTATTAATAAACACAACAGTAGCAAACAACACGGAAGATTTGCTGTGCTTCTGCCATAAAACTTCATAATCTTTCAGTTTGTTGAAAGTATGTCATTACTGGTCCTGGTTGATAGCCGTTCATTTGAGACTAAGGAGTAGTTCACTTCAGAATTAAAATGTCCTGATAGTTTACTCTCCCACGTCATCCAAGATGTTCATGTCTTTCTTTCTTCAGTGGAAAAGAAATGAAGGTTTTTGAGGAACACACTCCAGGATGTTTCTCCATATAGTGACTTCAATGGGGTCCAACGGGTCGAAGGTCCAGATGTGAGTTTCAGTGCAGCTTCAGAGTCTCGACACGATCCAGCCGAGGAATAAGAGTCTCATCTAGACAAACCAGCGGACATTTATAACAAAATAAACATTTATATACTTTATAACCAGAAACACTCGCCTTGCACTAGCTGTGATGCGACACACACTACGTAATCACGTTGAAAGATCACGCGTGTTCCGGTTTATAATTGTGGTGTAGGGCGAAAAACTACATCTCATTTTCTCATCCAACTTCAAAATCGACCATCGTTGTTTTATCTTTTATTTTTTTGTAAATGCTGTTTGTCTTAGTCGTTGCACGTTCACTTTCTAAACACTAGGTCTGTACTTACGCCTACGTCACGCTTGACCTTTCACCCTGATTACGTAATGTGTGGCGCATCACAGCGAGTGCAAGACGAGCGTTTGTGGTATAAAAGTATATAAATGTGTATTTTGTTATAAATGTCGGCTGGTTTGTCTAGATGAGACTCTTATTCCTCGGCTGGATCGTGTCGAGACTCTGAAGCTGCACTGAAACTCACATCTGGACCTTCGACCCGTTGGACCCCATTGAAGTCACTATATGGAGAAACATCCTGGAGTGTGTTCCTCATAAACCTTCATTTCTTTTCCACTGAAGAAAGAAAGACATGAACATCTTGCATGACGTGGAGGAGAGTAAACTATCAGGAGATTTTCATTCTGAAGTGAACTACTCCTTTAAGCTTTCGAATGACACCTAATTTAGGATGATTATTTAAATATTTGGGGCAATAAAGCATGCCAAGTGTCCCGCTTGACAACAAACAGGCTACGACCCACTGATGCAATGCCGAGGGGGAAACACTAACCTGTTTGTTGGCCTTTAGGACGGTTCTCAGTGTGGCAATCTGCTCTCTCTTAGTGCTGAGGAGAGATTTGAGTTTGAGGATCTCCTCCACGCTGGCCTCCTGCTCGCGGTCGGCCCCGAGACCCAGTTCCAGAGAAGCCATGCGCTGGCGGGAGAGCTCAGTGGTGCGGTCCACGGCGAGCTGCAGGTGTCGGATCTGGTCCCGGATGATGGCCACCAGGTTATAGATGTTCATGGGCTCCTTACGGGGATCAGCCACTGGAGACGACGCTCCATCGCTGGATTCGGCGCTGGGAAAGAGTCCGCGGGTCAGCAGGATTGGAGATCGGCGTCCACGACCATCAGGACTGCACCAACCTGTAGTCTGAGCGCCATTTACCCCGGCTTTACCTGAGAGAGAGAGAGAGAGAGGAGAGAAAGAGAGAGGAGAGAGATAGAAAGGAGAGAGATAGAGAGAAAGATAGAGAGAGAGAGCGAGAGAGAGATAGAGAGGAGAGGGAGAGAGAGATAGAGGAGAGAGAGAGAGAGAGAGATAGAGGAGAGAGAGAGAGATAGAAAGGAGAGAGATAGAGAGAAAGATAGAGAGAGAGAGCGAGAGAGAGAGAGAGAGAGAGAGAGAGAGAGAGATAGAGGAGAGAGATAGATAGATAGATAGATAGATAGATAGATAGATAGATAGATAGATAGATAGATAGATAGATAGATAGATAGATAGATAGATAGATAGATAGATAGATAGATAGATAGATAGATTTATTTAAAGCCATGTCAGCATCTAAGGCTATTTTCATGGCAAAAATTAAATTACAAAAATACAAATATCATATAAACACAATAAAACCAAGCAAGCAAACACAACAAGTCACCTTGTACAATTTTTTCTTTTTGTACAAAAAAAAAAATCCAAAACCTTTTCATGCATAATCTTACTAAAGTGAAATAACTTCATAAAAGAGCATTCTGCTTGTATTAAACCCAGGACAGTCCAATAAAATGTGTTTAACAGAGAGGGAGTCTTAGAAACATGCATAGAGTTGGCTCTCCACCTTTAAAGGTTCGCGATTCCACTTTTCAAACTTTAATTAGTGTGTAATGTTGCTGTTAGAGCATAAATAATACCTGTAAAATTATAAAGCTCAAAGTTCAATGCCTAGCGAGATATTTTATTTAACAGAAGTCTCCTTTCAAAGCATACAGTGAACGGCTGGTTTGGACTACATCCCTCTACTTCCTTTTTAATGACGTCACTAGAACAGTTTTTTGACTAATTTCCGCCCACAGGAATACACAAAAAAGGGGGCGTGGTCTTGTTGCGCTTCCACGGAGAAGAAGTACTTCAGCTGCGCATGCATCTCCAATTTATGGTAAGAGGCGTGACGTTTCCGGGCAACGTGCGCTAAGCTGCTGTCCAATCACAGCACAGGAACCGCTGGCACAATCAGAACTCGCTACGTGTTTCTGAAGGAGGGACTTCATAGAACGAGGAAGTCATCGGGCCGTTTTTTGGAAAGTGAAAACAGCGGTATACAGATAAGTCAATTGTGTGAAAAATACTGTTTTTTTTTTACATGCGAAACATGAACATGTTATATTGCACACTGTAAACACAATCAAAGCTTCAGAAAAACATGTAGAACGGGACCTTTAAGCAAAAGAGCCAAACGTGCGTGACCTATAGACCGTATGCGCCAGAGAAACGAGGGCGCCGCCATCTTTAAAATATTGTCTTTGAACTTCCGTTTTTGCGGTCGCTCTGTATATCTCTATGGCATCGCTGTCCTGGAGTAATCAGCTTTTAAAGTAAATCTACTTAATGTAAAGTTAACGAAAGTTATCATGAGGATTGTAATGTTTAAAGCAGATGTCTTAACAAATGTCAGTCGACCGGGAAGATTTTAAAACGAGCCGTTCATTCAGAAACACGCAAGATCGCTGTGAAAATACAGACCGGAAGACAGAAGACGACGAGCGCAGCGCTGAGAAGGGGCGGAGCTACATAAGCTCACACGACCTCTGGTGAACGCCACTGGATCACATCTAGCTTTAACAGTGATTAAAAGTCTGTCATTTCACATAGCGTATTACTCTCCTCGTGCCACTTATCCGATATATCCCGATTAATACCTGGTCTGAAAGTGTACCTTCGCGGTAGAAGTCGAGCATGATGCGGTTGGGCGTCTCGTTGTTGCACATGCAGACGTGATGGTACAGGTTGGCCAGCTCCTCGCTGAAGGTGGCGAGCTCGTCCTGTGCGATGTTCAGGCTGCCCTGGGATTCGCCCGCCACTTCACTGGCCTGCCGAAGCTCCTTCTCCACGCGCTCCAGATGCTCGCGGTCGAGCCGGCTCGAGCGCTCTAGAGACGACACCTGCGCGCTCAGAGACGAGACCCGGCTCTCCAGCTGCGCCTGCTCCTCCTCGTACTGTGATTGACAGTTGGAATGCTCCGCCTTTAACGCTTTCAGCTCCTCCTTCAGTTGACTTGCCTCGGACACTGCGACCTGTGGTTTCAAACAAATCACATTTTAAGTTAGTTAAGTTAACCACTTTATTCCTCTTATAGATTCCTTTGTGAGCATTTCAGTATGACTTTAAGCGCGAGGCAACTTGCACGCTGTTTTCTGTGCTGTACACACATCCAAAGCGCTCACAGAAAAAGTGATTTTAAAACATTTAATCGTTTTCAGAGCTGTATTGTGCTCTTAAAGTGACAGCACTAATATTCCTGCTGCCGTCTCTATAATAACACTAATCTAACAACAAAAGACAAAGAGAAAATTCACAAGTTCTTGACTGAATAACTTTTGTAATTTAATTTGATTATTCTCAGGTTTATGTTACTCTATTGTATTTAAATAATTGTAAGTTATGTGCTGGGAGCTCAGCATTCATGTGAGAGGTCTCCCGTTCAGAGAATATGTCCTGTAATAAGGTCCTGTGTCCTGAAAGCTCATGTTGTTGCACTTCAGTTAATGTGACATTTGAAGTGAGTCTTACTTTCCTCATTTTTTGTAATGCCTTTGAATAATATGGGGGACATGAATTGCAATACTTATATGTTAAGAATTGCAATAATATTGAATCGTGGCCCAAATATCGCAATACTATCGAATCGTCACATATTTCGCCGATTCCCAGCCCTACCACTTATAGTGCACTTAGTGTTCGCTTTAGACAGAGACGTCTGCTAAATGACCAAATGTACTTCCAAATCTGAACTATACCTTGTACTTGCACTCCAGGATCTCGGGGCCGTTGATGTCCACCTCGTAGTACTCGCTGTCCTCGTGGCTGTCGCGCTCCTTCTCGTTGTCCAGGGCGGACTGGCGCTCTTTGCTGGCCTGGAGCTTGCGCATGGCACTGATGTTCTCCGAGAGCCGGCTGACCTTCTCGTGTTGCTCAGAGAGCGCTCCACGGGCCTGTTCCAGATGCTTCTGAGACTCCTGCAGTGTAGACAGCAGCGTCACCTTCTCACGCTCAACCTGAAACACACACACACACGGTTCAGGAAGTTGAAAAATTTGAACTTTGCCGTCAATTCGCGCCGCGTTAACCAATCAGGAGCCTGCTTGCTGCTGTCACGTGGTGAAGTGACGTGATAAACGGGGACAGGCCCACTTTTCAGTTTATAATGTTATTTTATATGTTTAGCCTCAATAAATAATTTTGTAATATGACAATGCCTGGTGTGGTTCTAATGCACAACAAAGCAAATATTTTATCACATAAAAACTTGATTTCAATATGAGACATTCATTTTGTATTGAATGCTAATTTTCCGTATGTAATCTAGATTATACGAAACATTATTATTCTAATGTAAAGACAACCAGCATACTTTAGTGCATAAGAACATAGTTCGTGTCTGGACAGTGTTGTGTCTAGCACTTGCCCCTCCCACAAGACGAGAATTCGCCTCATTCGCGCGTCAATTTCGCTTCAAACGCTTGCTTTTTACGCGCGTCAATTTCGCTTTGGACGCGTGAATGGATTCAAAATGTTCAAGCATCCAAATACACGCGAATTTGACACTCTATTTGCATTTGGTGTGAACGCAGCATAAGAAGAATTTCCCTGATTTGCTGATTATTTGTAATGGGATGAATATTACATGAGTTTTATAATAGCTAGTGTTGAGGAAAGTTACTTTTAAAAGTAAAGCATTACAATATTGCATTACTCCCTAAATTCGATTACTTGGTTACTTTTTATGGTAAGTAATGTTGCACGTTACTTTTTCCAGACCTTGATTCCTTAATTGTTTTTGTTTTTTGTTGTTGTCTGGAGCCCTGGTAATGCATTCAACAATATAGCTTATAAAATGTTCACCTTTATTATTATTATTTTTTTAAACATGTAGAATATTATTATATTCTGAGCACTTTCCTGAGCCCTAGAGAAATGCATGTCATACATCTACTGTACAACTCATTTTATTGAAAGTAATGTTTGTTACTTTGGTATTTTTGTCTGTTCACTTACACGAATGAGTGCGCATGTCAAAGTCACAACATTTTGGAAAAGAGAGAACAGTAATTCAGTAGTTAATTTTTTTTTAAACTTCCCCTGTGGTGTAAATCCAGCTTTTAATGTTGTTTATGTGTCTATGTGGTGTTATTAATACGCTTTAAGACAAACCATGTGTAAGTTCATAAGTCGACAGCATTGCTGAGTATTTCCTCCTTAAAACTGCAGTGAACCAAAGACAGTCTCAAAAACACGGTTTGAAATCGCTGGTGTTTCTGACGTCACAAACGACCTTGTAACCAATCAGATCAACGTGTGATCGTCAACCAGTGGATCTCTGAGCTGAGTGAGTGAGTGGAGGCGGGGCTCATTTGCAAATTCACAGAACCTAAACGAGGCAAGGGTGTCGAGTTACATTCAAGATATTTTAAGGCATAAATAATATTTTAAGGAAAAAACGCTTAAATATGTAATTTTGGTGATCAAAGATGAGTTGCAGATGCAAAGACACATTACTTTTTAAAAAGGTAACAACTATTAAAGGGATAGTTCACCCAAAAATGAAAATTAGCCCATGATTTACTCACCCTGAAGCCATCCTAGGTGTATATGACTTTCATTCACACCTAGGACGGCTTCAGGGTGAGTAAATCATGGGCTAATTTTCATTTTTGGGTGAACTATCCCTTTAATGTGTACATTTATAAAGAAATGCTTTTCTTGTTACATCAAAAAAGTAATCTGATTATGTAGTGCATGTTCCTTGTAATGCGCAGTTGGTGAGTTTAATCAATGCTGGTAAACTCTGCAAGAAAGTGGATCTCAAGGGCCAGAGTTGGAGATTATTCAGTCACAGCAGAAGCTCGTTTGCTCTGAGCTTTGATTACGGGACTCGCAGAGTAACCTGTACTGACATGAACATGACTCAAGAATGTGGCTGTTGAGATGGGAGAAGTCTGTCTATAAAGCAATATGAAGTTCTGGCTCAGTGTCGTCTTGCGGTTAACGATTTAATTGTCTGTTTTGTTCATGTCAGTTACAGTGAGAATGTAAAACAAAAACACCTTCAATCACATAATGATAATAACATTTATCGCTTTATAAGCAAATACTGCACATAGTAGAAGTTTTCAATATATGAATATTACACCTTTTAATAAACAATCCATCTTAATAGTATATTACAGTGTACAATATTCAATATCATAATTATTTTTTATTATTGATGTCTTTATAATTAATAAATTACTACTATATGGAAAATAAAACTGTTATGCAACAGTAAAATATTTCTGTCCACTTTTACAGTACTTACAGTGTACTTACCTATAAAGTACTGGCTAATATAAGGTAAGTACACAGGTTAGGGGTAGGTTCAGGGTTAGTACCTAGTTATTACCCAGTAATTATAATTACTATAATAAGTACATAGTAAGTACATGGGTAACAGGACTGTAAAAGGAAGCGTTACCCTCAATTTCATGTGGAAGTTGCTGTTAAACGCATATGCCATTTCTAACGAAGGACATTTCTCAGACTTTGATTTACTAAGATTGATTTAAAGAGAATTAGGGGTAAAAATATACGTCGACTGATACGCATATGTAACAGTTTTGTTGCTATAGTGTGTGGAGAGCCGTGATGTGACCAACACACACTAACAGATTCCCTTCACAAACAACCAGAGCTTATGAAATCATTTGTAATTAAAAATGTATGCAAAAATAGAAGCAATTGTCGATTTGAGAAACATCATGTCAGCTGCTCTTTTCGTGGTGTCTGGAATGAATTGTGCGAATGATCAATAGGTCATGATTTCCATAATGGACAGAAGCGTCTCAAACAACAGTCTCGTATTGTTCCTACGGTTCTGGCTCAACACACACCCGTATGCATGAAGAGGACCCTTATAATATAAAATAAGCATTTATATACTTTATAACCACAAACGATCGTCTTGCACTCGCTGTGATGCGACACACATTACGTAATCACGTTGAAAGGTCAAGCGTGACGTAGGCGTAAGTACAGACCCAGTGTTTAGAAAAGTGAACGTGCAACGACTAAGACAAACGCCCTTTACAAAAAACAAATAAATTGTAAAAAAACGATGTCGGATGATTTTGACGTTTTTCGCCCTACGTCAGACACAACGTGATTACGTGAGGCGTGAAGTCGTGCACGTGCAAGTAGGGCTGGGGCGGTATGGATTTTTTCTAACCGCGGTTGAAAAGCAAGATATTCCCGCGGTATAGCGGTAAACCGCTTTAAACACCGCTTTAAACGAAAATTGATCAAAAAACGTTGGTGCGGATGGATGGCGGACAGATGATGCGTTTTGTGCTGCGGTTCCGTTGCGGATGAAATGACAATAGCCCATCCGCGCATCTCTAATACGAATGTAATGCTATGTGTCATGGAACATTGCGCTCCCCAACTCGCGAAAGGGATTTGCTCCATCTTTTGATAAGTTTTGTTTAGAAAACCTTGAATCCATGTAAGACACACTATCATTAGAAATAATCCATGTCATTAGAATCAATGAATCCATATCATTAGACACAACGTGCACACATGTGCAGGCCAATGTTTTTTTTTTTTTTTTGCGGTGATGACGGTGACGAGCTCAGACCCGCGGTTGGAGTCACGTGACCGCGGTAATGCGGTAATGCGGTAACCGTCCCAGCCCTACGTGCAAGATGAGCGTTTCTGGTTATAAATGTTTTTTTATTTTATAAAATGTCCGCTGGTTTGTCTAGATGAGACTCTTATTCCTCGGCTGGATCGTGTCGAGACTCTGAAGCTGCACTGAAACTCACATCTGGACCTTCGACCCGTTGGACCCCATTGAAGACACTATATGGAGAAACATCCTGGAGTGTGTTCCTCAAAAACCTTCATTTCTTTTCCACTGACGAAAGAAACACATGAACATCTTGGATGACGTGGAGGAGAGGAAACTATCAGGAGATTTTAATTCTGAAGTGAACTACTCCTTTTAAAAGGTCAGAGTTCAGAGGGTCAGAAGGTCAAAGGTCAGAAGGCTCGTTGTGTCAGATTGGGTGGAGCACTTACACTAATAGGATTTAAGCAGTCCAGCTGTCAGCCAATCAAACACAGATCTGAACACACACTATAGGATGCATGATTTGGTAGGAGAAAAAAAATCTAATTGTGATTTGAAATCTGTAACATTTAAACAAGCGTTTTCTGTGTTATTCACTGTGGAAAACACTATTCAAATAAACTTTAATTGAATTAAAATGCGATTTAAAAAAATCCCAGGTTAGCCGTCCTTAGAGTCGCACAACATTACATTATTATTAAACATTTTGCCATTGCTTGATGAAGTGATGGTGCCTGACTGAACGCAGCAAACATGCTAAACACACTCCCAGTCGAAAGCTTTGATCGGTGAGATTATTAATGTTTTAAAAGAAGTCTCTTCTGCTCAACAAGGCTGCATTTATTTCATTCAAAATACAAAAAAATCAGTAATATTGTGAAATATTATTACAATTTAAAATAACTGTTTTCTATTTGAATGTATTTTCAAATGTAATTTATTCCTGTGATCAAAGCTGTATTTTCAGCATCATTACTCCAGTCTTCAGTGTCACATGATCCTTCAGAAATCACTCTAATATGATGATCAAAAACATGCATTATTGTTATCAATGTTAAAAACAGTTGTGTACAATTTCTTTTCAGGATTCTTTGATGAAAAGAAACAAAACAAAAAAACTGCATTTAGAATCTTTATGAAAATACTCAACATTATAAATGTCTTTACTGTCACTTTTGATAAATTTAATGCATCCTTGATTAATAAAAGTATTGATTTCTTACTGACCCCAAACTTTTGAAAATGTTACAAAAGCTTTCTATTTCAGATTAATGCTGTTCTTATGAACTTTCTATTCCTCAAAGAATCCTGACATAAAAATGTAAACAACTGTTTCCAAAATTGATAATAATGAGAAATAATTCTTGATCATCAGATCATCATATTAGAGTGATTTCTGAAGGATCATGTGACACTGAAGACTGGAGTAATGATGCTGAAAATTCAGCTTTGATCACAGGAATAAATTACACTTTACTGTATATTCACATAGAAAACAGCTGATTTGAACTCTTTAAAAAAAAAAAGAAAAAAAAAAAGAAAACTAATATTGTGAAATATTATTAATCAAAAAAATGCAGCCCTGGTGAGCAGAAGAGACTTCTTTTAAAAACATGAGTGATCTCACGCATCACGCTTCGACTGGGCGTGCGTGTGTGTGCGTGTGTGTGTGTGTGTGTGTGTGTGTGTGTGTGTGTGTGTGTGTGTGTGTGTGTGTGTGAGAGAGTACCTGCAGCAGTTGTTGCTTCAGCTTCTGGATCTCGGAGATGTTGAGCTCGTTCAGGAGGTTGTCCACGAGGCTGGAGGACGGGTGGAACGACTCTCCGTTTTTAGGCGTGGAGACGCGGTTGTCGTCGTTGTTGATCTTGTGGAAGCCGTTCTCGTAGACGTGGAGCGGTTGGTCGTTGTTCGGCTCGATCGAGGTGTCGTCGCTGAACTTCAGGCCGTCGAGGGAGATGCTCAGAGGACTGTGGTACAGCGAGTCCCCGATGCTCATGTACTGGGACAACTCCTTCCTCAAGGCGGCCTGGGTTAACACACACCAACACACGTCGTGAAGTCAGACCTCAGGGGCAGCAACGCATTTTAAACTACAGTAGGGGATCAAAAAAGCTCAGAGAACATTTATTATTCAAAATTCATCCATAGCTTTTGATGAAAGGTTTTGATCCACTTTAAATGTTGACTACTGTAGATCAATTTAATTAAGCTCAAACCCTCATGTTGTGTTCGGGTTTGACCCGGAGAGGACTTTCCCACACCCGATAATGCTAATGCTATTGCCTTGGACTGAAATTTCAGACAAGAATTTCGGACTCAGTGAAAACTAGCAGTGCGCTAGATCAACATTAGAATAACATACAGATCATATTATAACATTTCTCGTGTTGAACTATATAACATTGATTAGTTTCATGTACATTTGCTCACCCGTCTAATAAAGTACATGTAAGAGCTCTGTCAAGTGGAAGTTAGTCGCGGACGCTAGCTCTCGGCATCTCGAAAACACCACGCTGATATTGATCCTCGTTTTAGTTCTCCTTTTTTCCCCAAAGTCTGCTTGCCATGGTCTATAATGTTTGAACGAAACAACTGCAGCTAGACGTAACGCTGATGTCCACGTCTGTCGCCATGGTTACCATGCTCGCGGATATTACGTGACAGGCCACAAGTGAAAATTTCGGGACGGCCAATTATTCAAAATTGGAATTACTCTGAAATAAAAAAATCTTTGGGAACTTTTGGGATATTGTAAGTACACAACTGCAGGAAATATATCACACTGTGCAAGTGCTTTCTGGATATTTTATTACCAAATTCTTACATATTGTACCTTTAAAGTGACAGCACTAATATTCCTGCTGCCGTCTCTATAACAACACTAATCAAAAAAAAAAAAAGAAACCCCCAGAAAATTCACTTGTTCTTGACTGAATAACTTTTGTAACTATATTTATAATGCATATTTTTTTTATAAAGTGCAGTGTTATTAGTTTCTGTACCCGAAAACCTTAAAACGCTGTTTATTTCAATCGTATCTTTGTTCAGTTGTGTCTATTTGTTGCGATTGCTAATTATTTATTTGTTCTTTTTTAATTACTGAGCGTTTACTTGTCTTTAATAATGCTTGAAATGTATATTAGTCAGGCTAGTTGTTTTTCTATGGTGTTTTTAAACCACAGGCAAAGTGTTCTTTAGCCTGTTGATTTCTGTTCATGATATTCAGCTACAATTAAATGTTTTGCAATAAGACTAAAAGTAAACGATAACTTGTTTTATACCTTATTAGAATCGAAAATAGGAAACGATAAGAATAAGAATAAAAATCAACAAGCACAATTGGAATCGGATTCGTTAAAACTGAAACGATACTCAACCCTAATAATAATAATTTCATCAGATAGTAACTAATGTCTCGCCTTCTGCTCGCGCTCAGTCTTGATGGTCTCCAGCGCCTCTCCAAGCTGCCGCTCCGCGATCTCCTTCAGACGCACCGCATCCTCCAGCTGGCTGTTCAGGAACTGGGTATCTTCCTCCAGACGACGCATTTCATGCTTCAGACCCTCAAACTCAACCTGCAAGATGCATCACACACACACACACGTTTACTTAGTTATCTAAATGAGGACATCCCACAGACGTAATGGTTTTAATACTGTACAAACTGTATATTCTCTCCACTAACCCGACCCCTAAACCTGCCCATCACACACACACACACTAACCCGACCCCTAAACCTGCCCATCACACACACACACACACACACACACACACACACACACACACACACACACACACACACACACACACTAACCCGATCCCTAAACCTGCCCATCACACACACACACACACACACACACACACACACACACACACTAACCCGACCCCTAAACCTACCCATCTCACACACACACACACACACTAACCCGACCCCTAAACCTACCCATCTCACACACACACACACACACACACACACACACACACACACACACACACACACACACACACACACACACACACTAACCCGATCCCTAAACCTGCCCATCACACACACACACTAACCCAATCTCTAAACCTGCCCATCACACACACACACACACACACACACACACACACACTAACCCGACCCCTAAACCTGCCCATCACACACACACTAACCCGATCCCTAAACCTGCCCATCACACACACACACGCACACACACACACACACACGTTTACTTAGTTATCTAAATGAGGACATCCCACAGACGTAATGGTTTTAATACTGTACAAACTGTATATTCTCTCCACTAACCCGACCCCTAAACCTACCCATCTCACACACACACACACACACACACACACACACACACACACACACACACTAACCCGACCCCTAAACCTGCCCATCACACACACACTAACCCGATCCCTAAACCTGCCCATCACACACACACACACACACACACACACACACACACACACACACACACACACTAACCCGACCCCTAAACCTACCCATCTCACACACACACACACACTAACCCGACCCCTAAACCTGCCCATCACACACACACACACACGTCTGGATGTTACCTGGCCCTGCTTTAAGACAGACACGTGCTTCTGGAGCGTGATGTTCTCCTCCTCCAGCTCGCTGTAGTCCTGCAGGAGACGAGCCTCTCGGATCTGGAACTCCTTGAGATCGTCCCGCAGGCGAGACCTCTGCAGCTCCACCATCTGACTGCTCTGTAACAGGAGAAGAGTGTGTGTGTGTGTGTGATGAGGAATGAACAAGCAGGACGCCACCAGAACCATTTTTCTGGCCTGTTCATATTCTCCAGATGCGATATAAATGGTATTGTCCAATCCAGCTGCAGTGCTTGAAACAATGCTGTGTTTGTTCACATGCAAGCCGAACGGAAAGAAATAGCAATGACAAGTTTTGAGTATGAATGTGTGTGCATGTATCGGGGTGGATGATGATGATGATGATGATGATGGCGCTGGAGAATTACCAAGTAAGTGAGGATAGGAGCAGGCTTCACTCAATGTATATACTTATAAACTTTAAGAGTGCTGGCCTGGAGGATTAGAATACGAGAAATAGGAGAGAGGCCGCACTATGCATATGCTTTTTTATTTTTTTTATTTGCACAGACGCGTTTCGGCACGTGCCTTCTTCAGTGTGCAACAAGATCACGATGTAGCCAATCTTATATGCCATTGACACACCCATATTAACACCAACCAATAATGTTAATAATGTCACTGATGTTTCAAACAGTCCATTAATGAAAGACAACGACTGTTATACATATTAAAAAATGTTGGAGAATTACCTCCATCACAGCCCTAGTTTTAATGTTTAGCAGGGCTCCAGACTGCGACCAAAGTTTGAGAATGTGCAACTGAATTTTACATCCAGTTGCACACGTGCGACCAGTAAATTTGCCCTTTTTTTTTTTTTTACACGTTAAACGTGGGGAGGGGCGCGTCAATGAATCCGGAATGAGTGTCAGGCCAATGAGTGTGAGAAGAATAGGGAATGGCTGTAAGTGGCTAATGTGTGGAGGGGGCGTGTCCTAGAGATAATCCAGCGCACGTAACTAAACGTCTGTGGGAGGGAGACGGAGGCAAATATCACAACCTGCTATGTGCGTCTGAGCAAGCGATCTATCGACTCGTTCTTCTGACCTGCTTTGGTTTGTGTGGCGAAAAAGGCCCGAACCATTTCCGGGAAGACTGGCTGAGAGAGTTGATCTGGTTGAGCTACTGGGAGCAGACGAGCTCCGTGAACTGCGAATGCTGCAGTCGCTACCTTGTTCTAGTGGATTGTTATTGGCCAGTGCCCCTAATGTCTACATACATTTGTTAAGTATTGTTTGTAACTGTGAGATGACCGAAAGGTTACGAACAGTGTTGGGAACGTTACTTTAAAAAAGTAATTAGTTATAGTTACTCACTACTTAGTAACTGAATTACTCTATAATAAAAGTAACTCGTTACCAGGGAAAGTAACTATTTGCGTTACTGTTGCTATATGTCAACAAAAGTTGCTATATGTCAAAGAATTTTGATTTTTTTTTTGCAGTTTTCACAAGTCAGTTGAAATGAGTAGAACAGACAGGTGTTTGTACGTAACTTTCGATATTTATTGCACGTCGACAGACAGCAAGAGGTTTATCCTGCACCTCAAGTATGATCTTTGTAAGAAAAGTAAACAGTTACACCATATAAAGTGCATTTAACTCTAGCGAATTAAATCAAACTCTCTCAACCTGAGACAACTGGTCAAGTTAACAACCTGTACTTCCAAGTGTTCTGTTCACAACAAAAGTAAACTTTTAAACTACAAATTCTTAATTAAATAAATCAAACTCCCAATGTCAGACAACTGGTCTGGTAGACATTCTGTACTTCAAGTATTTTCTTCAAAAGTATACCTATAGTATACCCAAGTATACCCATACCTAGAGATTGGCATGGTGTTATTTCAGTTAGCCTAATAGCTGGTTTGATTTGCATTGAAAGATGATCTTATGGAAAGTACCCCATGCCAATCTCTAGGTATGGTGAAGGGAATGTGATGATGTGGGATATTTTAATTCCAAAGGCCAAGGGAACTTTATCAGGATGCATATTATCCTGGATCCATGAAATAACTGGCCTTTAAAAATAAAAATCTGCCTGACTCTATGGGAATTTAACATAGGGGGGGCCTGACTTACGCACCCTGTATTTTAAGGAAGAACATTTATTTATTTATGATACATTATTCATACACAAAGAAAATTGGTGTCCTTAAAGGTTGGATTTTTCCTCATTTTTCTAATTAAGGCATTAAGATCAATTTCCAAAAGATGATTTTTTATTCCTCTTTTTAGGCAACTTTAGCATGGGGGTAATAACTTATTCACACCACTGTATGTCTTTTAAATTGTGTTTGGTGTTTTGTTGTTTATATATGTTGTATGTTTATATGGACCCATGGGTCTGAAATAAAGAAATATATAGCCTATATATATAGTCTCCGCAACGGCGATAGATTGAAGCGCGCGTCCGAGTGAAGACTGCGCGCGCCGCGAGCCACAAGAGAACAACTGTATCCATGACACTGATCGCAGCAGAACGAGCGCTCAGCTGGATCTCAAAAACAACAGATTTAAGCGCTAGATCTCTTATTTAATAGCGAACTAAATGAATGCTCTGCTAGTTAACTGGATATGTTTTATTTATTTGTATTAGGTATCCGTTCTATGACATTAGTATATTTTTTACTAACCGTATATTTACGTATATTGCGTCGTTGTACCCAGCACTTCTGAAAGTGCACTTCCGAATGCGTCTCTGTCCCCAGCACATTTCAAACCAAACTGACGCCCATGAATCAACGCATAGTAACGCACCGCATTTAACGTCCAGTAACGTTAACGGCGTTGTAACGACGGAAAAAGTAATTAGTTAGATTACCCCGTTACTGAAAAAATAACGTTGTTACCTAACGGCGTTCTTTTAAACGGCGTTATTCCAAACACTGGTTACGAAGCACTTTTTTTATTCTGAATGTATGGTATATGTTTTTCATATTTGCACTGTCATGAGAGCGATGGTGCTGTCGGTTTACCTTGTTGTCGCATCTTCAAAAGTGCACAATAAAATGTGACACTGAATTTGAAACAGCACATTGTAATCTATTATCAAAGTATTTATTAGTAATACAGTAGAAATGTGAATATTTGGTTAGTATGTTGATTTACGGTGTGTGCTCCTAAAATGTTCATTTGGGGGCCACTGTGCTCCTAGTGAAAAAAGTTAGTCTGGAGCCCCGTTTAGTTTATATAATGTTTAGAGATGCACGATATATCGGCCACCATATCGGTATCGGCCGATATCGGTTCATTTTTAATATTATCGTTATCGACCTGATAAGAACATTTGTCCGATATATTAAAGCCGATAAATAATGTATTATTTCCTTCAGCTGAGACGCTTCAGATGCGCACTGTTCAACATGATGGCTTTGAATTGCTTGAAATATGATTGGAATCACTTCAAAAAAGGAAAATACAGTAAAGTGATACAAGTCTGTCATATCGGCTACATAACATGATCATGAGAACATTATAATTGTGTGTTTGGCTTTTACTGGTGAGACTTTTGTTTTAGTAATCAGACTCTCAAAAATTATATAAAAATTTGGATTCAGATTTATCAGCCAATATATCGGTTATCGGCTTTCAAATATAAAGAATTATCGGTTATCGGCCAAAATGTTCATATTGGTGCATCCCTAATTATGTTTTTAATAGGCAGGTGCAAACTGTTGATTCATCAATATTCTGTTGTTATTTTCTACACTATACAGATGAAACTCGAAAAATTAGAATATCGTAATTTCAGTAATTCAACTTAAAAGTTGAAACTAATATATTATATAGACTCATTACATGCAAAGTGAGATATTTCAAGCCTTTATTTGTTATAATTGTGATGATTATGGCTTACAGCTTATGAAAACCCCAAATTCAAAATTAGAATATTGTGAAAAGGTTTTCATAAGCTGTAAGCCATAATCATCACAATTATAACAAATAAAGGGTTGAAATATCTCACTTTGCATGTAATGAGTCTATATAATATATTAGTTTCACCTTTTAAGTTGAATTGCTGAAATAAATTAACTTTTGCACCATATTCTAATTTTTCGAGTGTAGAGAATTGGTGTTTTAGCAACTCCTGAAGCTTCTAATCCCTCTGATGACGCAGCTCGTGAGGCAAACGCCCGCTGACGCGTCAGACTGACCTCTCTCAGCTCCTGCGTGATGCTGGCGAGGCGCTCGTTCTCCGACTGGGTGTTGGTCAGGATGTTTCGAGCTTGTCTCAGCTCTGCCTGGAGCTCTTGCACGCGCTGCTCGTAATACGCCTCTTTACACGCCGACTCCTGGATGAGCGACTCCTCGCGGCTCTCGCCGTCCGCCGCCACCTTCCGGTGGTTGGAGTGAGCCTGTCCGAACGCCTGAGGAACAGAAGAAACACACCAAGATTAATAATGAATCCTTTATCGTTATATATGGGGATGATTCACATTGCCAATGGGCAAATATGGAGGTGGAAACAACTGGTATAGCATCCAAAAGTGTGTAACAGGGTTGCTGCACACTATTTAAAGTAATATTTAAGGCTTTTTAAGATTAACACTGTACATAGGGGTGTGCAATATTGACAAAAAAAATTATATCTCGATATTTTCAAAGTTGTGATGATAATAATGTGTTTTTGTGCTGGTACCACGGCTGTTTTAGGCCTGTTGTTGACAGCGACTCGTGAAGATATTCATATTATTCATATTCTATGCGGTGGTCAGTTCACAGCAGTGACAGAAAATTAACATTTTTATGAAGGGACAATATTTGCCACCAGGGACCATTTCCAGGGGCATTTTTACCTATACAAGGGCATTTTTTTCTAAACTTATTAGATGCATGCATCACCTTTTATGTCAAATTTTAACATTCAAATTAAATTCTATTAGAATAATATCTAATAATAGAATAATTCTATTATCAACAAAATCCATCTTTGCAGTGACACAGAAGCGGCATCAGAAGTGGCATTAATATATTTACACAGCATCATTTATTATTATACATGGGGATGATTCACATTACCAATATGGGCAATATGGAGGTAAAAACAAGTGGTATACCATCCAAAGGTGTGTAAAACACTGCAGCAACAATCCACATATGGAGGATCTATTCCTATTCTGGAGTCTGTGAATTAATGAAGAAAATATTGAATTTTTAAGAAAAATGCGATATGAGATAACTCGTTAAATAGTTTTCGATATTCAATATGCAATATGATAAAGCTATAAGTGTGTAAAATAAATGTAAATTATAAACATTTAAAAACTGAAAATGACATACGTTTCACTTTTTTTGGTAAGAAGAAAGCATTCCTACCACTTTGAAAGTAACGAGCAGTGTTTTACTATTAGTTAATTTAACTGAAGATCATTTCAACAGAAATTGAATAATCAAATGTAAAAAGAAATCATTGCTTAGTCTTCACTGTATGAATTAAATATATACTGATTCTTATTAAAATTACAAAAGTTATTCAGCCAAGAGCAGCGAGTGATTTTCTCTTTGTCTTTAAGTTTTTAGGCTGCTGTCACTTTAAGAGCTAATGCACAATCTAATATACTGTTATAATTCCTGTTCACGTGAATACACACCAAGACGGGAATGTTGACATCATTTTGTGTGTATTAAATTTTTTTTGTCTCGATTACACTTTCATTAACGCATTGTTTGCATAATTGAATGTTTTATTGGATCTTATTCTTGTGAAGCGCTTTGAGATACTACTTTTAAAAGGCGCTACAGAAAATAAAGTTTATTATTATTATAAGCTTCGGGAGAAGACTGAATTCGGGATCTAATCGACATGTATCCTCAAGCATGGCCATTTAAACATCAGTGCGTCTCAGAACAAAGGCAGATTTCCCATCATCATTCTTCCAGGTCAAGCACAGGAGGAAGGAAGTGTTTCCTGTTTTTAACAAATGTTCCTGTCTTTACCATGTGTTTTTAACAAACTCAAGCACCCTCAGTTTATACTGTAATATCACATTGGCGAAACAGATTTGTATTTGTGTTTCTGTTTACAATGTTATTTTGCAGCGGTGAGAAATGTAGCCAATCACAGACATGTCTGTTGATCTTTTGAATGCAATGGCTCTCATTTATAAAACTGTGCGAAGGATCCTTACTAAAAGTGTACGTGCGCCCAAAAGCCAAAAAAAAAATTCAGACTTATAAAACCGTGCGTACGCCAGAACCAAAATTCCCTTTATAATCCCAGAAGATTGTGCGTTTGTGCGTCTCCATGAAATGACCATTTATGAGCTTACAACGCCTCATTTTACTATGCATATCCTCATCTGCATATCATTTGCATATGCATATTCATCCACGTGAGACCATGTTCAACGGTACAAGACATTAGGAAAATATAAATGTTTTTTACCAAAAAAATGTTTTTCTAGAAGTTTTTCTCAATCTTTTCCACTGGCCAAATAGTATTTTAATTGCTTTATAGAAACAGATAATTAATGTGCATTATTGATCATTATTTGCGTGTAAATATTCTGGTATTATCATGCGCTGAGCAAACATTAAAACACAGCATGCCACAGGAAAAGTGTTCAAAAGCATCGCATCCACTTCAAATATGTCTATTTATTAGAATATAAAAACTGTTGTAACGTCTCGGTAATGATATCATGTAATTTAAGTGCTTAACTCCATTAAGAGGCTGGGATATTTAATCTGAATATGTATATCAGATGTAAAACAGTTTAAATCCTTCTTTTATTTATTTACACTGTTATTGTGAACATGCACTGTATTTCTGATTAGGACTCATGATGAATATTACAGATGTTTTCCTTCATCAGTTCCTCAGATCTCCATCGGTGTCGCCAAACGTCTCCGTCTCCAGATGTGCGTACGCATGATCAGAGTTTACTTACAGACGCACATTCTCCCGTCACGTTTGTTTAATAAATCTACACTTCTGCGTGGGAAGTGGCGTGCGGCTCTGTCAGGGCCTGTTTTCTGAAACACAGCGGTTATAAATGAAACCCCAGAGGTGTTCAAGTTTACTCAGTTTTTGGTCAGAGCCGAGTTCTGCTTCGCGTATACAGGCAGAAGCCATCTTTGAAAAACAGTCTCTACCAGTCGATCTACGAACGCCGATCCAAGCCTGCTGTTCGCGCTCACCTTATCACAACTTATAGCTCGTTCACATCTCACCAGCGCACTTGGATCGGCGTTCGTAGATCGACTGGTAAAGGCTGTATTTCAAAGATGGCTTCTGCCTGTATACGCGAAGTTGACTGTATGTTTAAAATATCTTCTTATTAAACTGTCTGTACACTTACAAAGTTCTCAATGCTTCGGTTTGAAGGTAGGGACCCTCATTATGCTGCCGTGTTAGTGTGGGTCTATTTTCAGCCTTGTTAGTGGTATTAACAAGCGATTTTTATTTGTCATTACACTATGCCCAATATACTAGCGTTATACTAGCTTTATAGGCTAAACTGTTTTTAGAGATAAAACTATTTACATTCGATAATCATGAAAACAAATCTCAGAGAACGGTTGACTAGGTAACAATGTTTTATTAGACCAAAGGTTCATTTTGCGCCGGAGTTCTCCTTTAAAACCACAACCAAGACAGAACATAGGCTAAGTTGTTTATGTTTTACAATAGTAGCCTATGGGCTTATTTTTTTAACGAAATGTCAATCTTCATCTTTATAACAGAAGATATAATACAATACAACAATCTTCAAGATACAGTAAATCTTCAAATGTGTAACGGATTGTCACCTTAAAAAGTGTCTTTTTTCACAAGCAATGCTATGCTATATAGCATCTTAATTTAATCTTTGTTTTATTATTTTAGTTCATTAACTAATTGTTAACGCAACTAATTTATCGTAAAGACCTGGATACTAGAATTAGGCTACTAATTAAATAAATGTCAACTAGCCTAAATGCATTGATTAGAAGAATTGCCATTGACTAAAGATTTTCTAGTCGACTAGTAGTCATTCCTTTAAGCAATTAGTCGACTAATCTCACTTTAATATTCATTTCTGCTTAAATACTGAGTGGAGGCATATAGCCTATTCCGCGCTCAAGCAAGCGCATGCATAAATATTGCCGCAAAGCAACGGCAAAAGCAGGCTAATGATAATATATGTCTGGAAAAAAACAAGGCATTTTTATTGTTTAATAATAAAAAATAAAATAAATTTTTTTTAAATCAGTGTCGGCTGCAAACATATCTATATCTCCGCTGTAAAGTGGTTGCGCCTTTAGAGAGAAATGCACCTTTCATATCATATGAGCCGGTATTTGCTTTCGATTCAAATTTTTTCGTTTAAAAGTGGACATTTCAAGCTTTATATAGAAATATTCATCATCTGTGAGGCTATACACTGTGTTTCAGTTCATTTATGAGACGCGATCCAGTTCACCACGGACACCATGAAAGCGCGCCCTGTTTGTTTTTATTTTATTTTACAAAAGCACAACGTTTTCTTGTTATTGTGAGTTTACAAAAATAAAAGTAGCTACTTGCGACTGATGCATTATTCTTTTCTGTATAGGCCTATGACCAGAAAAGATTGAGTATTTCAAGTTGTTTCCACTGTTGATAGGAAAATGCAAGTGTTCGCGCCGACGCCTGCCATGCAGTGCACACTCCGCACACGCACTTGGATATGCATTTATCTAGGTTACAGTTAGAGCGAGCTGCCATGCCAGACGGATAAGTCCTTTTCATGTTTAACAAATCAAATCATGCATTTTCTACCTACCGCGAGTAAGCGCTGCACCAGTTTGAAAAAGGTAAAAGCATAACGAGCGTAACGAGAGAGGGGCCCACACTAGGGGGGATGCAGAGATGTTGCTGCGTCTGTTATTATTAACATTTCTGATTGTTTAAATGACCAGCCCTCGAGGGTCCCCTTAAAACGCATGGCTTGCCTGCCCACTGTTGTCCATAAAATTGGTGAAGGGGATAGAGATGCACCGATTGATCGGCTGGTGACCGGAATCGGCCGGTTTTCACGTGATCGGCCATGATCGGCGACCGGTCGGTCAGTCTGACATAATCCGATTTTATGCCGCTCAAATGCACTCGGGCGCCGCATGATTAACATCGCGCAACATCAGCATCACACGTGCACACGGAACGCACATGTAGGAAACCTCATGAATTACGGCCGTTTCACACCGCAAGCGGGAGCAGCGGGTTTTTTTTTTGTTTGGCGTGCATGTTAATCAATGAGTGCATTCACACCGGGAGCGGCGCGTGAGCAGTGGTGAAGCGCGGGTTTCAGCGCCGATCGAGTCCATTTTTGCTGCGCTCAATTTAAGTGAAAGCTCACTTTTGATGGACAAAATAAATATGATTTCATCCAAAAAGTGCCCAAAA